GAGTTTCTTTTGGCTCACAGTTTTAAGAACATTTTGTTTTATATGTGTTGGGAAAGTTAAGTACTCGTCCCTTACAGGTCTCTTCTCCCCACCCAGCTGTAGAACTTCCGTGCATACAAGGTTGTTTTCAAAACTTTCTAGTGTGCAGTGCCGGTGTGCCTTGACCCCTTTATTAGTCCTCTCCCATAGTGAGCCTGGGTTTGGAACCTTGTAGCTTATGCTGGTGACACTCTATGACTTCTGAAGCATTGTTTGTCTTCAGGAGTCTCTTAGAATGCTTGTTCTTAAGGCAGTGCTTGTCAACCTGTGAGCCTTGATACCTTTGACAAACCCCTATCTCAAAAAAAAATTTACATTGCAATTCATAACAGTAGCTAACTTACAGTTATGAAGAGGCAATAAAAATAATTTTATGGTTGGGGTCACCACCACATGAGGAACTGTGTTAAAGGGTTGCAGCATTAGGAAAGCTAAGAATCACTGCTCTAAGGGGAAGCAGCTGGCACCGGAGAAACTCATGGTGGGGTCATCTTGGGTATCAACCTAGTCAAGACTCAGCACGATTCTGGTCATGCCAACATCTGGCTGCAGCTGTATGAGAAACCCCAGAGAGCAGCGCATCTGGATGCTGAGTGGGTATGTACGGTCAGTAAGCAGAGTTGTGAGAGAGAAAACAATGATGTTTTGATTGGTTGCTTGATTTCTGTTTTGTTTTATACTTCAAATCAGTACATTTTGGTGTACTTCATTACATGTTACTGGGCAACTTGAATAGTGTCTTAGTTAGGGTTCCTGTTGCTGTGAAGAGACACCCGACCATGGCAACTTAAATCATTTTTATTAAAACAATCTTTTTTTGTTTTACAAACCAATCCCAGTTCCCCTCTCTCCTCTCTCCCCCCCCAATCCACTCCTTAGAGAGGGTGAAGTCTCCCACTGGAGATCATCAAATTCTGTCACATCCTTTGAGGCAGAACCAAACTAACTAAAAGTCAGAGAGAGAATATTTAAATTAACATAATCAAAAATAAAAAGGGAAACTATAACCACAGATACCAAGAAAATCCAAAGAATAATGAGGTCATACTTTAAAAACCTATACTTCACAAAATTGCAAAATCTACAAGAAATGGATAATGTGCTTGATCGATACCACTTACCAAAGTTAAATCAAGATCAGATAAACAATTAAAAATAGATCTCTAGGCCCTAGTAAATAGAAGCAGTCATTAAAATTCTCCCAACAAAAACAACAACTACTACTACTACTACTACTAATAATAATAATAATAAATCAGGGTCAGGCAGTTATATTTTTTTGCACAGAATTCTACCATACTTTCAAAGAAGAGCTAATAATATCAATGCTCCTCAAACTATTCCACAAAATAGAAACAGAAGGAACACTGATTTTTTTTTTAAAGAAGCCACAGTCTTCCTGATATCAAAGAGAATTGCAGACTAACTTCCCTCATGAACACAGATGCAAAAAATACTTAATAAAATACTTACAAACTGTATCCAAGAACACATCAAGGAAATCATCCACCATGATCAAGTAGGCTTCATCCCAGAGATGCAGGGATGGCTCAACATACAAAAATCAGTCAATGTAAATCACCACATAAACCAAACCACACGATCATCTCATTAGGTGCCAAAAAGTCTTTGACAAAAATCAACCCCCTTCATGATGAAACTCTTGGAGATATTATGGATATAAGGAACATACCTAAATACAGTAAGGAAAATTACAACACACCAATAGCCAACATGGAGAAAAACTCAAAGCAATTCCATTAAAATCAGGAATAAGACAAGGCTGTGTACTCTCTCCATATTTATTCAATGTAGTAATTGAAGATCTAGAGGAAGCAATATGACAATTGAAGGAGATCAAGGGATTACAAATTGGAAATAAAAAGTGAAAGTATCATTATTTGCAGATGATATGATAGTATACATAAGTAACACCAAAAATTCTGCTAGGGGACTCCTACAGATGACAAACACCATTAGTGAAGTGGCTGGATACAAGGCTGGATACAAGATTAACTAAAAAAAAAAATCTGTAGCCCTTCTATACACTTTTTTTTTTTTTTTTTTTTTTTTTTTTTTTTGTATACTGTGAATATGGGTCACTTAGATTGGATAATAAAAAGCTGATTGCCCAACAGCTAGGCAGGATTTTGGGGGCAGAGAAAACAATGGGAAGAAGGGGAAGTCACCAGAGAAGCAGCATTGGCAGTAAATGAGACAAAAAGTAGCTAGATAAAAATGGGTTAATTTCAGTTGTAAGAGCTAGTTAGGAACAAGCCTAAGCTAAAGCTTTCGGCTTAGGTTTCTTAATTAATAAGAAGTCTCTCTGTTGTTATTTGGGAGCTTGCTGGCAGGACAGAAAATGTTCAACTACAAATAATATAAAATATCTTGGGGGGGGGTAATTCCAAGCAAGTAGTGGTGTATGAAAAATCTTCAAGTTACTGAAGAAAGACATTGAAGAAGATATCAGAAAATGGAAAAAAAAATCTCCCATGCTCATGAATTGGTAGAGTTTACATAGTAAAAATGGCTTTCTTAATAAAAGCAATCTATAGATTCAATGAAATCCCCATCAAAATTCCAACACAATACTTTACACCTACGGACATCTGTTGTTTTATTTTTTTTTTTTGTTTGTTTTTTATAGAAGCCATAAATATACAGTGGAAAAAAAGAAAGCATTTCAACAAATGGTGCTGGCATAACTGGATCCTAGCATACAGAAGAATGCAAATTGATTCAGAGCTATCACCCTGCATGAAACTCAAGTCCAAGTGGGTCAAAGACCTCAACATAAATCCAGATATAGTGAGCCTAATAGGAGAGAAAGAGGAGAATAGCCTTGAACTCATTGGCCCAGGTGGCACAGAACCCTGATAGTGCAGGCACTAAGAACAACAGTCAATAAACGGGGCATCAAGACACTGAGAAGACACCATCAATAGGGCAAAACAGTGGCCTACACAATGGGGAAAGATTTTCACTGTCCCCACAGAAGGCTAATATCCGAACTATATCTGAAGACTCAAGAAACTACACATCAACCAACCAAACAATCCAGATTAAAAAATGGGGTACAGATCTAAACAGAAAATTCTCAACAGAGGAATCTCAAATGGCTGGGAAACACTTGAAGAAATGTTTAACATCTTTAGTCACCAGGGAAATGCAATATCTCAAAACTACTTTGAGATTCCATCTTTGTAAATGGAGTTCTTAATTGGTCTAGATAATAAAAACCGATAGTCAGATATAGAGGAAAATGCTTAAAGATCAGAGAAAAGAAGCAAGCCACCAACGTAACCTCCTTTGAGTCTCAGCAGACAAGAAAGCAGTGTTCTGTTTCTCCCTGCTTATATCCTGTTTCCACCCAGCTAGCTCACGTCCTGCCTGTCTGTACAGACCTCCAGGCCTCTATGGTTAGCTTGTGGCATGGTTAGCTAGTGGCAAGCTCCATTCTCTAACCTTCAGACAGGCTTTATTTGTACAAGCAATATATCACCACACATCTTATACCTCTCAAAATGGCTAAGATTAAAAACACAAGTGGTAGCCCATACTGCCAAGGATGCAGAGCAAGGGGAACACTCCTCCACTGATGGGCATGAAAACTTGTACAGACACTTTGGAAATCAATATGGCTGTTCCTGAGAAAACTGGGAATTGATCTACCTCAAGATCCAGGTATACTAGTCTTGGGCACACACTCAAAGGTTGCTACATCTTATCACAAGGACACTTGCTCAACCATGTCCATTGAACATTTATTCATAATAACTAGAAACTGGAAACATCCCATACACAAACAAACCTACTCACGCCAACATTTAAGTGAAAGCTTCCCCCTCCTCTCCCAGCTGAAATCTCATGGCATTTGTTACAGAGCTTCTTGGTGTTTATTTTTATCCAACAGCAATAGAAAGAATGCATGGTGACAGCTAATTATGTACACAGCCGGCGCTTTTGCGTTCTGTGTTTGTATAGTATGTGTACACCATGCATATCTAGCAATGCATTAACAATCCAGTCCAATTCCCTACTTCTGTTATGCAGTATTAGTATTTCTGCTCAGAGCCACGCCACTTCTTATGACTAATTTCAGCCAGCACGTGATGGGAGGCAAATTAGGAGGAGGACGAGTTTTTTTGTTTTTTTATTTCCCATGAGACATAAACAATCTGACATTTCCCTCAAGATTCACAACATACTTGCCAATGGTTTTCCCAACTTGTGACCTAGAGACTGTATCAGAATCCTCCTGGGTGCATGCTCTAGTGCTGGTGACAGGACCCGGCTTCAGACTTTGTGGATCATAGTTCTTGTGAATGGTCCCGAGCTCTGTATTTTCAGTAAGCACCCCAGGTAATGCCAACGAGTTCTGAAGTTGTGAACGGCTGTCTAAAAAGGAGAACAGAAACAAGAACTATGGTGAAATGAATGCCCTAAATTCAGTATTTAGTGAGCACCTTACGTTGGCAAAATGTCAGAACCAGACAATATGTGCTCGTTGCCGCCACACAAATCATAACAGAAAGCAATACACTTACAGAATTAGCGTTTTCTACAACAACCAATAAGAGGGGCCCATCTTCCCCTGCAGTGAGAGTGGGGTGCTGATGCCCTAAGCAGCCAGTGTAAGCCAAGGCTCTCCCTCAAAACTTTTGGTTGCAGCATTTCCCTGGGAATCGGTTTAGAGAAATGTCTACATTGTCTCAGTTTCAGGAAAGTTGTTTCTGGTGCTAGAACACTCTAATGAGCGGTAACAGGTCTGTAACTCCAGATCCCACCAGCTACTTCCTTGGATTCTCGCTTCCACCTTTGTGGTACGGGAACTCCATTTCCCAGAAAGCCCCGCAGCATTCGATCACGCGAGCCTACGGGGAAACTTGCCGGTTTTTCCCCCCCACTCCTGCCGTAAAGGCGCGTGGTATTCTGGGACTTGTAGTCTGGCCAGCCCTAGGACGCCCCCTCAGATGAATGGGACCGGGGATGACTGAGAACTACAGCTCTTGGGCTGGCTGCGTCGGTGGCAGCCACGGAAGAAGAGTGGACTGAGACAGCCCCCGGGCAACGAACAGCGGGCGGTGGTGATGTTCAGTGAGGGCTTCCCAGGGTAGCGATCTGGAAGGGCGCTCTGCGCGCTCGCACCCTGAGCCCTGCATCGGCCATGCGCCCGGCCTTCGCGGTGGGCCTGGTGTTCGCAGGCTGCTGCAGTAATGTGATCTTCCTAGAGCTGCTGGCCCGGTGAGTGACCCTCGCGGGCCGCGCCCGGGCTCCCAGGGCTGATCCCGGGCTCCTTGCCTTGTCCACCTCCCCACTCCACTGCACTGGGTACCCGCGCTGCCTGCTACTCTGCAGCACTGGGTACTGCTCCATCTCTTAGCATCCAAGTGACAGGGACGCCCAGGGTGCTGCTGTCGTCACTTCAAAGCCACACTTTGGGGATTTGAATCTTGGAGACTTATTTTTCACTTGACTGAACCAAGGTCTCAAGGAGCTTGCGGTAGAGCGAGTTCCTCCACCAAACCACCCTCTCCCTACTTTTGATCTAATTCTAGCTCTTTTCTCCGTCCAGTTAGTGAATGACACGTGCCTGTGCGGAGCAAAGCCTTCTCACGTGCAAAGCAGTCCAGTTTTGTACACGTTGCAAAGAAAGTTTCGTTTGCAAGCATAGTCTGCAAAAGATTTGCTCACATTGATGGCAGAGATGATTGAGACTTTATCCAACTCGCGTGTGAGTGATGTGGATAACTATTGGGCTGTCCCCATGGTCCCTGAGCATTTAGCATAGTGCAGTCTTTAATTGAGAAGCGTGCACTTTGGAGGATGACTATGACACTTTCCCAAAGGGTTGGCTTTATGGTGGTGTCTTACAAATAATGTTGGGTAATAATGTGCAAAGTTCAGTGGGCAGAAGTTAGAGATGAGAGGAGGTGGAGTGGAAAACGCTTAAGACTAAACAGCTCAAGTTAGTCACTTCAGATTTGGCCCCGTTAACCTCTGGCTATGCAGCCTTTTCCAGTCCCTTAACTTCTCTGGGCCCCCTTTCCAGGCAGTTCAGTAACAAGTCGGCTCAGTAGTAACTACGTGTTTCTAAATCTGTATACTGTGTCCATTGACTGTCTAAACAGCTCTGAGCTTCAAGAGTTACATTGTTTGGCTGAGAGTGAAACAGAGGCAAAGTTGGGCGGCCTTTTCACTGCTTGCAAAGAGCAGAGCAAGAAATGGTGTCTAAGATGTCTGTCTAAGCTCCTAGCTCAGTACCATGTCCCATTCCCTTTCATTTGTTAGTTTGAGTGGCCCATAGTGAGAAGTCTGGTAGGAATGTATTTTATTTGGTGCTGTTGGTTTAAATTCTTTTGAAGCAAGCAGTTCACTTACGGTCAACTCTGTGTGGATTGATTTTTGCTGTTAAAGAGCCTGCAGTTTTGTTATGTGGAGTGTGGATGAAGATTATTTGTCTCAGGAGTGGTAAGGAATATGAAATGAAAACAGAAAGTTGCTGGCTATAAGCATGACACACTTCAAGGGAAGGAGACTTTGGAATTTTTATGTATGTATGTATGTATGTATGTATATTTAATATATGTTTAAATAGAAAGGTGATAAATTCAGGCTGGCTATAGAAACAAAGTCGGATAATTGCGTTGGACATGCCATTAAATTAAGTGAAGGAAGCCTGTGTGTGCTAGCTTGTGAGCTCTTGGCTAAAGTACTTGGTTTCACCCATTAAAGGGGCATGTGTGTGTGTGTGTGTGTGTGAGCTCCTTCATCCCCATGGGTTCTGAAGGGTTGAGTAAGATGGCGGCTTCCCCCTCTCCCTTACAACTTTGTTTCAGTGCAGCACAGGCATACCTTGTTTTTGTTTTGTTTGTTTTTGTTTTTGTTTTGTTTGTTTGCTTGTTTTGTGATGTGTTTACTTATGGGTAAATTATCTTATCTTTGTGAAGTTTTTTCATTCCTTATAGGAACTTTCATTTAGAATTTTAAGAATCCAAGTTCCTTTTTTTTTTTTTTTTTTTTTTTTTTGTAAATCTGCATTTTGATGTGCCCTGCAGTGGTAAGGAAGTGAGATTATTAATGCAATGTGTAGTACATTAATTAGACTGATGGCCTCTTATTCCCGATTTGCATCACACCTTCCCATTATAGAGCAGTAAAATTGGACCTGGTTAGACCAGAGGGTCTTTAAAGTTCCTTCTTGACATCTGTAGCTTTAATCTTGAGGAATTACCATAAAAATCTCATTATAGAGCAGAAATCGTAATTTTTAAATGGCTTTCTTGGAGCCCTTAGGTGTCACTCTAAATACAAAGGTTGAGATGACTTGTTGAAAGAAGGGAGTGTTGAGCCATTTACCCCCAATTGGAAAACAAATTTAGGTTCTTCTTACTGACTTTTGTAGACCTCTGGTTGGGATCAGTAATAAAACGCACACCCTGTGCATTGAAGGAACAGTAGCATAGCAATAAGTGAGATCTTGATTCCGCTCTCAAGGTGCTTCTGGTCAACCTTCAAAACATGATACCCATGCATGATCTATGTATGTGCTGTATATACATACATACACACACAGAATTAAATAATGCAGACAAGACATTGTGTGTCAGGGTAACAATCTGAAAGACTATTTTTTTTTTCCCCATCTAGGACATGACATTGAACTAAATAAGGAAGTTTTATGTCCAGGAAAAAAAACGAGGTGTGAACCATCTGCCCGAGATTCATTCTCTTCAAAGTTGATTTTTTTTTTTAAGGTTGAAATTTGGGTTTTTGCCAAGAAAATCCCAAGCAAGAGAAGCTGTCTGCAGTTGATGGCTGTAAATGCTAAGAAATAAAGAGAAGGAAAGATCCAGGGAAGGCATTTCACATTTTTATTGAAGCTTTAAAGTGAATTATTCCAGTTCAAAGAACACCCCCGCAAGCCATGACAGCAGCGGGTCCCTAAAATGCTCTCTGTATTACCTTAAATGAACATTGGTCGTAGGGTCATGGGATTGCACAGGGAGGCTTACACATGCTATGGAAAGACAAAAAGAATAAAATTATTAAAGGTCCTGATGAGGGAGAATGGAAAAGTGATTCCTCATGGGACGTCTTTTGGGGTGTCCTAAAATTAGATGGTGGTAATGGTTGGCTAATAATAGTATTGTTGATACACAAACCCACTCATTTGCCATGGAGTACCATGTCGTCTCCATGTCTTTAGTGATAAAATATGTATTCATAAAGGAGAAATAGCAAAGATCACCTGAAGGATACCATTGTAAATTTGCAAAATTTTAAAATCTTTTACACCAATGCTAATATCCTAGAGCACATTTGCTTAAAGTGACGCCTCCCCACCCTCACCGACTTGCTTGAGTGAAGGCCAGACCCTGTGTGGGCGTGCCCAGATGAAAGGGGCGGGGCCCTGTGTGGGCGTGCCCAGATGAAAGGGGCGCGGCCCACCTTGTGAACATTTCACGATGGACTGGGTTCTCGCTGCCTGTAGTTCATGCTTGGCTCCCGTGTGTTTTCCCTTCTCTTGAGGGCACAGATCCCGGTCATTCCCACCAGGAACTCCGGATTCTCTGCAGAGTGGCTTCCCAGTAGCCACCCTGTGAGAGCTTCGGCCCAGGCTGTTGGTAGAAAGAGGAAGGGAAACCCAGAGAAGTGCTGATCCTCCGGCCCGGTGCTTGCCTCTTGATGCATGTTTTCTCACGCAGTTTTCGCGGCCACGTATATCGTTTTCATCTTATAAAGGAAAGTGTCCAGTGTGATTGTTCAGAAGGATAACTGTCGGGCTGAGGAGAGACCTCACTGGTTAAGGTGCTTGTTGTGTAAGAGTGAAGAGCAGAGTTCAGATCCCCACGACTCACATAAAATGCCTCTAATTCCAGCCTGGAAAGGCAGCCACAGGTGAACCCCAGAGCAGGCTGGCTGTCTCTGTGCGCTCTGGCCTTGACTGGGAGAGCCTGCCTTAGTGAATGAGGCAGAAGAACCGTTAAGGATGATTCTGGACATCGACCTTGGCACCCCATGCTTCCATGTGTGCATGTACACACGTGTACCCCCACACATGTGAAGATCTACACGCACACATGTACAACACATACATGCATACATGTGCACCTATATCCATGCACATACACACACAGGGAGGCAGGGGAAGGACAGCTATCGTTAGACGAAGACCTCTGAGTTCTAGGAGCCTGGGCTAGCCATCACCCTGGTTCTGGTTGCCTTGCCATCGTGGGGCAGGCACTGTGTTGGGTGCTCTCCCTCTGGGACCTGTTCACCAGGGAGATAAGCACTCACTGTTCTTAGACTAGAGAAAAGTGGATTTAGAAGTTGATTAGCTTCCACACCACACCGTCAGCGACAAAGGCGCTCTTGCATGTCAGTGGAAACCGTGTGCAACACCACCATTCTCAACTCTTTGTCACCATGAGCTAACACACACACACACACACACACACACACACACACACACACACACACACACACACGCTTGAATGCAGCACAGGCACGCCCTTTTCCCACTAGGATGGAATGGGGGCCTTTGAGAGCATAGATTCCCAGGGTCCCAACCCAAGACAGTGAGGTCAGTCCTGGGAAGGTGAACCTCTCCAGGAGCTTCTTTGTTCATTCATTCATTCACTGATTCATTCATTCACAGAAGTGGAGCTTGAACTCAGTGCTTCCTGCACACTGGGCAAGTATTCTGTATTGCCAGTAAGCTATGTCCCTAGCTAGCGCCTATACTTTTATCCCCCTTTTACTTTTGAAGCAAAGTCTCACTAAATACTGCCTCACCCACTCATAATGCTAGACTTACAAGCCCGCACTGCCACGCCCAGCCTGATCCATGGGTTCCTGAAGACCAGCCAGGACAGAGTTGACTAGCACTGTGCTGGGAACCGTCTAGAGTTAAAGTTCTGCGCTCTTGTGTTGACTAATGGTTTTAATTAGATTCTTGAATGAGATGAATGGCCTACACAATTGTTTATGGATTCCTACAAAGTTTAGCCTTGTCCCTTGAAACCAAGAAAGACAAATTGTTAGACTGCATCTAGAGCGGTAGGCTTCAAGAAGCCTTCACGGGCAGCAGAGGTTAAGTACAGCACTGGGTCTGTTAGAGGTGGCAAGCTTCGTTCTTGCAGAGTGCTGTATTCCTTAGCTATCTCTGTGCATGAGGGGTGCATTTAAAGATTTGCACTGGGTAAGTTAGTTGTTGATCTCATTATCAGGGAAGGGCATTTATGGTTGCCTTTCCACGGTTGCTCAGTTGGAGTCTTGTAGGTCTCTAGACCTTTCTTTAGGTTCAGTTTTCTCTTCAAACCTATAATGGCTCCCTCTTTTATGTTCATTCTCTCTCTCTCTCTCTCTCTCTCTCTCTCTCTCTCTGTCTCTTTCTCTCTCTCCTGTCTTCTGTTCCTCCCCTGACTCAACCTTCCTAACCTTCCTAGTCCCACATGCTTTCCTCTCCTCCCTCTTTCCCCTAGTTCCCTCTCCATTCACTGCCCCCCCACTCCCCTGTGCTCTGGAGGACTTGTCCCTTCCCCCTTCTGTGAGGGATCTTATATGAATCTCTTAGGATCCACCTTGTATCCTAGTTCCTCTGGTGGTGTGAATTATAGGCTGGTGATCCTTTGTTCTGTGTCTAAAATCCATATATGAGTGAGTACATACCATGTTACTCTTTTTGTGACTGGGTTACCTCATTCAGGATGGTTTCTTCAACTTCCATCCACATGCCTGTGAATTTCAAGATTGCATTGTTTTTTTCTGCAGAGTAGTATTCCATTGTGTAGATGTGCCACATCTTTTGTATCCATTCTTCAGTTGAGGGGCATCTAGGTGGCTTCCAGGCTCTTGCTATTACAAATAATGCTGCTATTTGAGCACATGTCTTTGTTGCATGGACATGAAGCCCTCACCTAGTACCTGGTGGAAACAGAAGCAAACACCCATAACTAAACACTGAATCAAACTAGAATCCAGATGCAGAGAGGGAGGACAAGACCGCGCTGCAGAAACACATAGAGACAGCTGACCTGAACAGGGAGGAGCTAACGGGCCCCCAGACTGATAGCTGGGAAGCCAGCATGGGACTGACTCAGACCCCCTGATCATGGGTCTTAGCTAGAAGGACTGAGCAGTCTAAGGGACCTCAGACAGTGGAGCCAGGATTTATTCCTGGTGCACGAAAGGACCTTGCTAACACATCCCCCATGGAGGGATAACTGCCTTAACCTAGAGACAGGAGAGAAGTCCTAGACCCTACTTCAAATGACTTGACAGATTTAGATGACCCCTCTTGGATGGCATCACCCTACATGTGGAGTGGGGGGAATGGGAGGGGAGGGTGGTGAGGTGCATGTGAGGCAGGGAAAGAGGGAGGGAGGGAGAGGGAACTGGGATCGATATGTAAAAGAAAAAGATTTGCACTGGGGGTATATAGCTCAGTGGCAGAGTGCTTGCTGGTTTTGTGTGTCAAGATGACACACACTAGAGTCATCTGAGAGGAGGGAGCTTCAGTTGAGAAAATGCCTCCATAAGATCGGGCTCTAGGCAAGCCTCTGTGGGCGTTTTCTTAATTAGTGATTGATGGCGATGGCAGAGGGCCTGGCCCATTGTGGGTGGAGCCTCCCCTGGCCTGGTGGTCCTGGGTTCTATAAGAAAGAAGGCCCCGGGGAGCAAGCCAGTAAGCAGCACCCTCCATGGCCTCTGCAGCAGCCCCTGCCCCCAGGTTCCTGCCCTGCTTGAGTTCCTGTCCTGACTTCCTCAGTGCTGGACAGTGGCGTGGAAGCGTAAGCAAACAAACCCTTTCCTCCCAAGTAGCTTTGGTCTCGCTGCTTCATTGCAGCAATAGTAACCCTAACTAAGACACCTAGCATGTTCCAGGCCCGGTGCCTAACTGTGTGCCTTGCCATTAGTGTTTCGTATTCACAGCACCGGTAGAGAATAGAGTTGGCTTTGATAAATAGCATTGTATCAATAGTATTAATCTGAAACGGCTTTACAAAGCCTGTTCTGTGGGGTCAGGTGGGTGTCTCTGGTTAAGTTGAAAAGACAGACCCTGAAGCTGGTGATAGCAGTTTTAGGGAGATTTTGATGCTCACTTGTGATGTCTTCAGCTATGGAACAGAACTGGGGAGGGGGGTGGTTCTAGAAAACTGTCAGCATTTCAGAATGCCTCAAGAGGGATGTCAGAAATAACATTCATGCTATGGCATGTGTTCCTAATAGTCACTGTGGAAGACTCCTGGCCCTTCTGTAGAGCACCGATGAGGATCTGTTGAATTGCAGGAATATCTCTTGACTGGCTAATGCACTGAAGAACAATGATAAAGTTTGTGGACAACTACCGTGTGGGAGAGCAGTATTTTTCAATCATCCTTTGCTTACTGTTCCAGCCCTAGAACCTGTTTTGACAGTTTGTCTTAATCACCCTTGCAAATACACAGTTATGTTGATTTGTGTACAGATATGTATCTGTGCCCGATTAAAAGGGCAAGCCTCCTCTCCGACCCCAGAACTATTTAGACAGTGTCTAAAGTCACACCCCTATCCTCATGTGACCAGTAACTTCCGACCAGTAGAAATAGATGAACATTCCAGGTGAATTCCAGCATGTGTCTGTCCTTGACTAGAGACCTTTTGGGTAATGGGGGGATGTATGTGAGTTTACTAGGGAATTTCCTGCCGCTTACCGGGATAGCCATCTCATGTACTGTAACAATGAGAGGAATTCTCATGCAGGGAGGGCCTGCTGCTCTAGGGAACCCTGACAGAGCAGAGCTGTGCATCCCCTGTGATGCACAGTGTCAAAGCGTGTGATCCATGGCGAGCGAGAGCCAAGGTGAGGAAGGACAGTGACTGCAGAAATCGTTATTATTTTGGTGCCATGACTATAACAGGTTGCAGTGCGCTTTATCTGAGTCTGAGCCTTGTCTTTTTCCTCTCGCTCTTAACTGTACAGGGAGCACCCAGGATGTGGGAACATCGTGACGTTCGCACAGTTCTTATTTATTGCTGTGGAAGGCTTCCTTTTTGAAGCTGACTTGGGAAGGAAGCCACCAGCTATCCCACTAAGGTATGACGCAGTGAGGTCTTGTTGAGTCCTTTGAAACCGAAAACAGTGGCACCTGGACAAAAAAGTGTGAGGCACATGTTTCTCAAGTTTATGTTATGGGTAACAGCGGAGTCATTAGTTTTATGAATTACATTGTTATGCTGTAGAAACCTATTTTTAGAATAAAATTCCTGCCCAGGACATTTAAAGTAACTGCGATGGCAGTGAGGGCACATGTGTATAATACAGGGTCAGAAGGACTAGGGTGACCACAGATTTCTAATAGTTATGTATTCGTCCTATGTGTTGGCAGAGTTATTGATTATGCTAAGAGTGCTATCATTAAGCATCCTGTTAAAAACAACTGGCTTTTGGAAATAAAAAAGCAGTGGGTATACAGCATAGCAGACTACTAAATGCCACTGAGTTGTTTGTTCACAAATGGTTAATTTTATGTTGCGTGAATATCGCTTCAGGTAAAAGAAAATGATTGACAAGCTAAGAAAAAATTGTTAATGCCAGCCAGACTTGGGTCCATCAGTCCAGGTTTGCCCTAAGTATCTTCACACACAGGGCCAAATATGACATTTCTCATGACGGAGATGAGATAGAAGTTCCTCCCCTTGGCAAATGGTGTCACTCAGTTTCTATGGGAGTGACATTCCCATGTGAATGTCCCCCACGTGCCCAGGCTCATCCTTGTCAGTGTTCTCTTGCTGCCTTCTGTCATTGACTGTTTTCCTCTGTCTGTCTGGCCCCCCTAGACATGTTTCTCTCCCATTCATGGGCCCCCACAGCTATTTATGGAATAATCACTCAGAGGCAGCTGGGTGTTGGGGCACACGCCTTTAATCCCAGCACTCAGGAGGCAGAGGCAGGTGATTCTCTGAGAGTTAAAGACCACCCTTATCTATCTATCGAGTTCCAGCCCCCCTCCCAAAAAAAAAAAAGGAAGGAAGACTCTGATTGTAAGTATAAGTCTATAGAAATCAAAGAATATCCTCATTATTTTAGAGTCTTCTGATTTACCGTGTGGAGTAGTTTCTACAGTGGCTAGGCTGAACATGAGCTTGACTTAGCAAATCTTTGGCATCTGTTTTTTTTTTTTTTTCAAAATTAAGAAAAATAATATTGTATAAATATATACAGGACATAATTAAGGTAATTAACCATTTTCAGATTCTCCAGAGGCCTGTGAAAAGTATATACAAAGAACTAATACATTAAAAAAGGATTATCTGTCCACTTAAAATCTCTTACTATGGATTAGGTGATGTTTGTAAAGCCTAGTACGTCTGCTGAAAAATATTCAGGTGTTTCCCTAAACATATTCAGTAATTCAGACTTTCCCCATGCTAGTCTGACTTGGTGACATATTCGTATATGTCCTTAGTATTTGACTTTATGTGATGATGGTTCTGTATACTCTCTCAGCAGAGATCAAGGAAGCCAGGTGTCTTTTAAACCGCGTGTATGTATTTCCTCTGTGTGAACATTTCTTGGGGAAGTGGGCTCGTGTGATGCTGTTCTCTCCCACTGCAGGTACTATGCCGTCATGGTAACCATGTTCTTTACTGTCAGCGTGATGAACAACTATGCCCTGAATCTGAACATCGCCATGCCCCTGCATATGATATTCAGATCAGTAAGTGCCAGCTCACACGCACGCATGTCCTCGGAACAGCACGGTGAAATGGGCAGACCAAGCACGGGGCAGTCGAGTCTGGGGCATACAGATGGGCTTGCATGGAGTCTTTGAACAGGATAACGTTCATGTGCTGTGTAAGGCAGAAAAAGAGACCTGGGGAGGTGGGAAGTGAATGGCTAACTTTTATTTATCTCAGGTCTAATATGTGGCTAATAAAAATAAAATTAAAATCTCTCTGGGAAATAGATTTGTTTCCTGTTTTCTTCCTCTGGCTGATTTTGAGCTCATACTGACTACTGAAGCCTTTGTTTTAACCCTTCCCCCCACCTTGCAGTGCTTTGCTTTGCAGCCCAGGCTGGCTTGGAACCTTCCCCACCTCTACCTCAGCGTCCCCGAGTGCTAGGTTTACAGGCTTGTCATGCCACTCTCAATATGATTACCCATTTTCTTCATTACTTTGTGTATGATGAGCTCTTCCCGTGGTTGCTGCGTAAACAGGAGCAGACTGTCCCCAGAAGAGGGGGGAATGGGAACATGCGGGCGGAGTTGCAGCATGCTGCACACTGGGTGTGATGGGAGTGACTTCACCCTGTTGCCTGAGATTTTTGTGAGGTTCAGTGTCCTCTTCCTACGGGGACTTGCATAAGATAATTGTAACTATCGGGTGACCTCCAAGGCGCTGTCACATAGCACTTCCATAAACTCTTGTTGGTTGATTGACACCTTCTAGAGATGAGGGAGGGTCCCTGCATGACTTCGTCCATTAAGGATGGAGGCAGCACAAAGCTCACTAGAAGCTGTATACACTAAATGGTGGGGGATTTGATGGAAGTAGGTCCAAAGTATGGTCATAGCTTTTATTAATGAGAACAGATCATTTCCCCCCATTGTACCTTGCACTGATTTTATTATTTTTCACAACAGGTTTGTTTTTATTGGCCTCTGCTCTTTTCCTTGGTAGCTTTTCATCCTCATCCTTGTCTTCTTTTACAGGGCTCTCTGATTGCCAACATGATTCTAGGAATTATCATTTTGAAGAAAAGGTAACAGCACGCCTTCATGTTCTATGTGGAAATGATATTTCAGGTGGCCTCTGTGTCTGGCTACCTTTCTTTTCTCAGTGGTAAAAGGCTGCTCTAGCTCATGAGCCTTTTCCTGTATTCTTTCTCTCAGAATCATGGGTAATGATGGCTTTCCCCAGGCAGCTGACCAGGACAAAGGCTCTCCTTGTGGCTTCCTGTGGGACCAAACGGCTCTTGTTACCACTGTATTTTACATGCATATCCAGCACACATGAGGAACTCATCAGTGTACTGTAATAAACGGGAGTAACTTTATATGATAAGAGAGTCTCTGGTAAAGGCCCAGATAGACACTAAGGAGGAGCAGAAGGTTCTGTGTACTGATGCCAGGAGTGTGGTAGGATTGGAGTGGGAAATGGTGGGCGCAGCTGGGATGCTTCTCATAGAGCCCATCCCTCACTTGAGGGGAAGACAGCAGGGAGTCTACAAGATTTCTCAGGGGGAAGGCCATCTTCATTGATGAGACCAACATTGTGTAAGTGATGCCATGTTTTCGGTTGTCCAGTTCTTGGTCGTCCAGTTCCTGGTCTCAGCACAAGGGCTCTCTGGGCTTGGGAAGAATCTGCCAATTCGGAGAGGAAACCTAAAGGGGTTTTGTTTTTGAGATTGTTTTTTTGAGATAGAGTCTCACTGTAGCCCTGGCTGGCCTGGAACTGGATATGTAGACCGGGCTGGCCTCTGTATCTTAAGTGCTGGGATTAAAGGCGTGCAGTACCACACTGCTTGACTAGAGCCTACAGTTTTTAAGGGCTAAAGCCTGTATCCAAACAAGGACAACTGTCCTATCTTGCTAGGCTCCGTATCATGTGTCCTTTTATCTCTGGAGGCCTTGGAGCCCCAGGTTAAGTCTAGCTTCCTGTCAGCCCTCGCTACAGCCTTTGTGCAGACATTTAAATGGCCAGGTGTTTTGTTTAAGATAAAGACTATACTTGATACCTAGACTGCACCTTGGAGACCTGGGTTGTTCCTTCCTAAGCTTTGATTTGGTTCATAACAGGAATGAGCTTGCGCGCGTGCGTGCGTGCGTGCGTGCGTGCGTGCGTGTGTGTGTGTGTGTGTGTGTGTGTGTGTGTGTGAATTATAATCTCCTGATGCAACCTCAGCTGTCAGTGGCTCTTTTCAACACCTGTTTCCCTTAAAAGTTTACTTGGAATCTGTTGCCTTGGGTCTGAGCCTTTGACTATCAACTGAGCAGGAATTTCTCTAACTTCTCTACATGTATTCATCCTACACCCATCCCTCCCTCCATGACGCTGGCCGTCAAACTCAGGGCCTTGTCCATGCTAGGAAAATGTCCTGCTGCCAAGCTCTGACCCAAGTCTACCTTCTTATTTTTTTGAACACAGCCCTTTGAGAATTTAAAGACCACATCTATATTTTTCTTAACCATGATTTTGGCTTAAATTTTAAACTACTTCAACTTGGTGTTGTTAGACTGAACTTTTGCTATGTAAGGTTTTATTAGCTTCTGTTAACCATATACAGTTAACTATGTGCCTTATGATAATGCCATACACACATGCATACATACAGAATGTATTTTGATTGTATTCATCCCCAAGCCCCCTTGTCCTTCCCCCACTCCTGCTGAGGCCGAGCCCCTCTTCTTCCCAGCCAGCCCCCTCTACCGCAGTACCCCACTTCTCTGTAGTGGGGCTCTCCTGCATCCCTGTCAGCTCCTCAGCCAGTCAGACCAACTCTGATGAGGTATTGTCGCCAAAGGATACAGTGTCCTTGGGTAGAAAAGTAATAATGATTCATTCTGCAAGTTTAATTTCTTTTCATCCTTCCTGGGGCCTTTCCCTTGATTACCAAGACTCTGAGGAGGATCATAATGATACCATTTTAGTTAATGGGAAATGTCACCATTATGCTGCCCTTGGCTCTACAAACTACATATTCCTCCCTTTATCCAACTGTGCCGACATTTAGCAAAATCATTTACGTTATTCAGATTGTTTTTTAAGAAAATACCTTCCCTGGAGAATGGACATTATTCCCCAAGTTTTGACTCTTGCCATTCCTCTTGAATGGGGTGTGTGTGTGTGTGTGTGCGTTAAGACATAATTCTGGGCTCTTAGGATTGGAACAGCCACAGGTACAGGTGAAGAGTGTGCAGGCTGCATTGGTTTCTGGAGAGCAGAATGCAATGTCACGTGACACCTGGTGTGTGTATGTCTGTTTTCTGGTTTTGTTTACCTTCTCAGTTTCTGATAAAACAGCCTACTGGTCAACACGATGAGGATATTGTAGAGGTTTGCATTTGAATCGCATACTACCCGGCTGCAAGTCCCATTAGATGCTGTCCCCTTTCCTAAGCTGCTCTTGTCCTTGTTTTTCAGATACAGTGTATTCAAGTATACCTCCATCGCCCTGGTGTCTGCAGGGATATTTATTTGCACTTTCATGTCAGCAAAGCAGGTGGTAAGAATCAGCTTTCAGTCATTTGTATTCACTACTTGTCACCAGGCTCCATTACCTATTAATAAAAGAATCAGAGTGCTAATGTAACACAGGAACCGACCTCTGAAAGAAGAGCGGAAGGAAGTGGACAGCATAAATATTCCCCTGGCGTCTCAGACGTTGTTTGCGGTTCTGGCCTCCGTACCTAGTATATTTTCTTATTTCCTAGACTTCCCAGTCCGGCTTGAGTGAGAAGGATGGATTCCAGGCATTTGCATGGTGGTTACTAGGCAAGTACAGAGTTACAAAAAGCTAATTACCTCTGCACTTTTGTTTGCTGAGTTTTCTCCTGTGGGACATGCTTCTTGGCAAGAACTTTAGACTAAACAAATTATGCCAAGGAGGAGAGTGGCACCTGGGACCATTATGTCTCTGAATCCTAGTGTTCAAAAAATTAAAAGGCCAGTGTTCACATTTTTGGCACCGTGTGTTTCGTGGGTCCATGTTTCCCAAGGTTGTCACTGGCATAGAGAGGTCTGTCATTCTCTTTAGGAACACTACGTAGGGAGTCTTCTGCTTCCTATTGGCCAGTCCATTGAGTAGAAGTACCTGCAAAAGAAAGGTGACTTAGAACTCTTGACTCTGAGTTTCCCAGGGACACAGGGCGTCTATTTTCTTCTTAAGTTAACTGTGCTCCATATGGCAGAGTTCCCGAATCAACTCTCGTGAGAATTTTAAAAATACAAGTATCTCTGTGTGGAATTAATTAGACAGCTCCTGCAAGGCCTCATCCTCACTTGGGTTTGGAGGGGAAATGTTTGCAGTAGTAACAGGGGTGGCACCACACTGATTGGCTGGAAGAAAGTGGCACCAAAGCCTGTGTCCTCATCTTGGCTTTGGACGTTAACCCTTTAGCTGCTGTTCTTTATAGAAAAGGTCTCTGCACTATTGGGAAAATACGTACCCCAATGGGAAAATTCTCAAAGATGTGAGCAAACAAATTTATAGGGAAAAATTAATGTCCAGTAATCTTATACCCTCGTCAGCTAGTAATCAAAGAAAACCAAGTACAATGACTTTTCGTTTGTGACTTACCCTATTGGCATGGTGGCAAATGCCACTGTCGTTGCTGTGAGGGTAGTAACAGCCATTTTCATAAAAGCTGTTGGCAGAGTATAATCGATTGCCCTTTTCAAAAAAAATATTGTGTATTGAGCTTTTTAAAGGTCTTCATTTTTTTTTTAACGTTTGACTCAGCAGTTCCATTTATGAAAAATTACCCTAAGGAAATAATTAACATTTTAAGTATTTACTTGAAATCTAACTAGTCTCATTGCAAGACATATAAGTGCGGTGCAACCACGTGATAGGGTGATGTTTGGACCCTAAGTCACACTTTGAAAACACATTCAATAAAGCACATAAAGGGAAGGTCCAGAAGAACCTCGTGAGAAAAACAAGGTAGAGAAGGTGTGGACACTCTTCTGTTTTAGCATTTAGAAACATGCGTAAGGGCATGGAAAGGGGAAGCTAGAGAGGCTTTCATGGCAGCATTGTGGTTTTGAAATGTGCATGTCCTAGTGTGGTAGTTATAGAACTATAAATAATACTGTCGCCTTAAGAAAATAGGCCAAAAGGCCTTTGTAACCTGATCCTGTTCTTTAGGCATTGGAGCCCTGACCTTTGCCCTGCTGATGTCAGCAAGGATGGGCATATTCCAAGAGACTCTATACAAACAGTTTGGGAAACACTCCAAGGAGGCATTATTTTATAATGTAAGTAACTTTTTGAGCCCTGGGAAGGTGAAAATTTCCGACTTATGATATGTTATGCCGAATGGCATCCTAATATTATTGACAGCTTGTGTTTTTGTTAGTAACTGGCCTGGAGACCAGTACACTGAGGTAGTTTGGGCAGGGGGATAATGTGCATTTTGTGTGACAGTCAGTCATCTGAGCTGAATGAGCAACCAAATAAAACATTTAAGGAACAAGGAGACAAGGCCTGCAAAGTTCCTACAGGTAAAATGGTTAAAATTAATATGGAAATCCAGAAAGAGAAAATTAGTCCCAAGGCAGGAAGCCAGGAGTGTGGACGTCAGCGGGACAGCTTGGGAGATGGGGATTCAGGGCCTGAGTTCCCCAGGGGGCTTCACTCACAGAATAGTTTAGTTCACTGCAAGTGCTTGTCGAGCGAGTGTCTTCATTTTAAAGGGTGCCAGCACTCCGTCCTATAACTTTCCTCCATCCCTCCTTTATTGCTATTGAAATATGCCCCGAGAACTGCCCCCCAAGGCCATGGGGGGGGGGAGTTCCCTCTGTGTGCAACTGATCCGGACAGGCAGTTTGACACATTCACTTGGAGCTAGAGTTTGTGGCTGGGGATTTTAAAAAACGTAAGCATTTGTGTGTGTGTGTGTGTGTGTGTGTGTGTGTGTGTGTGTGTGTGTGTGTGTGTGTGTTTTAAGACTTATTATATATAGTGTTCAGCCTGCATGTATGCTTGTATACCAGAAGAGGGCACCAGATCTCATTACAGATGATTGTGAGCCACCATGTAGTTGCTGGCAATTGAACTCAGGACCTCTGGAAGGGCAGCCGGTGCTCTTAACTGCAGAGCCATCTCTGCAGCCCCTGGCTGGTATCTTTCATTGAGAACAATGCCAAGCATAGTGACAGCTTTGCAATGGGCACATGACATGATCTCGCATTGTACTGCTGCAGTGAGGTGTGTGGCAGTTGTCAAGCCTTCCTCTTGAGCCTCACATCATTTGTTTTCCCTTGACCTCAGCTTGCCTTCAAATCTCTCCTTGTACTAGTCCCTGAATTCTGTGCAGTCTGTGCGGTCCTCGTGACTCTCAAATCCAGCATGGAGCCAGTCCTTTTCGGGCGAAGTCCGCTTTCCCTCATTGAGGGGAAGACCCTGCTTGCTTGGTTTTCTTTCTCATTGGTGATCATCAGCTCCCTAAGACGTCATGCCACATGATGTCAAGCGCACAAAGGCGCTGGCGCATTTGCCTTAGAGGGGCTGGCTTGCTTACTGGGCAGCTGCAGGCGATTGTAAAGGTACCCTAACTGCTGTAATGGCTTTGCACTTACCAGTGTGTGACCCATTTCTTCCCACAGCACGCCCTTCCGCTTCCTGGTTTCATCTTCTTGGCTTCTGATATTTATGATCATGTCATCCTGTTCAATAAGTCTGGTAAGTTTGCCGTCATGTGGCAGCCTCGGCTTTATCTCGTGTTTATCGGACTTTTGCACCTTCCAGGTGTCTAGGTGGGGCTGTTTGTCCGTACTTGGAGCAACAAGGGCGTTTCTGTGCTCTTTTCCCATTCCCTGCAAATAAGAATGCCTTCCCCTCTCCTCGTCTCCTTTGGAATTGTATGTTTGCGTTTGAACGTGGAGTGTTACACGCTTTGAGAATGCAGACAGGTAGCCCCAACTCTCACCTGGCACCGGAGCCCTTGAAGTTGGGTGGCAGGCTCTGTCTCCTTGTCTGTCCTCTGCTGTGAAAGGCAGAGCTGCTCACGGAGCTAAACTGCCTGGCTCCAAGCACTAGGGAGCAAAATGATGACATGGCTCATTTCCTAGCTACAGATTAAATAAAAAAGATAAAGTAATTACAAGCAAAATAAAATTAAAAAAGGAATATAAAAGAATATATGAAGGTAAGCTGTTGCTTCTTAGAGTGCTACTTGGTAAATTGATAATAGTCAGTTGCCTTGAAAGAGCTCACGTGGACAATGTGATCATCCAGGAATGTCACACAGGTAGGTGAGCACATAAGAAAACTCTTTTTGGAGGAGGGACAACTGGGATTGGAATGTAAAAGTAAGTAAATAAATAATAATAAAAAGGAAGAAAGCCCTTTTTTTAAATCAAGGCTTTATGTTGCCCACACCATAGGTAGTAAATCATTTTGTGCTGTGTTGTGTCTGTCATTTGGCCTAAAAATGTGTTACAGGAGTAGGTAGTATGGGAGAGAATCCACAAGGCCCTGACTCCCAAAGCACCATTTCTCACTATTAATACCGTAGTTAGTATAGAGTGGAATCAAGGTAAATAAAGTCATGGATGGGCCAACTTTTTTTTTTTTTTTTTTTTTTAAGGGAAATAATGCCCCTGTGCCTGTTACTGTTTTTCCTATGTAACCTCATTCAAAAGATGAAAAGTGTAACTGTTCACACTGGCGTGATTGCTCCCTCTCTTCCCCTGTGCAGAACTCTATCAAGTCCCAGGCATCCGAGTGGCTATGCCCATCATGTGGTTCTACCTTCTCATGAACGTTGTGACTCAGTATCCTTTTGTGTGCCCTTTTATTTGTGACTCTGTGATGCTTTGGCAGAGCAGTGTTCATTCTAACAATATAGAGGACACAAGTTTGGGGTTTGCCTTGACTTCCTCGATAGTGAGCTGGAGATGGGTAGACCCTTCCATGAAGCTCCCTTGAGGAAGGGTAAGAGACTAATGGTGCAGGTCAGGTAGGTCACCCGCAGAGGAAACAGGACTAATCCACGGATTGGTTAGAGCTAGTCATGTCATGAGAGGAAATGATCTGGAATTTCGACAAGGTCCCTGGTATCCTAGGATACTCTTTATTATTTCATGACTGTTACAAGTCACTGCAACATTCTGAAGCAAACTTCAAATTAAGACTCACTTAAAAGTAATTGTTTTAATAGAAGCATCTTGCCATTATAAAAGTTGTGATGTCTTTAAAGTATTGAAGCGGATTGGGGTTGACTGCCTCCTTCTGAAAGCACCACATAGATTCCCTATTCAGCTCTACTCTGAAGGGGAGGATGGAAGGCCTGAGGACAAGACAGGGTAGAGGTGAGTAGGATCAGCTTCGTGACCGTGTGGCATTGTAACCTGCAATGGAAACCTTAGGGATGGCAGAGCTGGAATCTCTCAGACGTTCTGCCGAGGAGGGCCCTGAGAGCGGAGCTTCGTGTGAAGGCAGGAATCGCGCCTAATGCTCCTCCCTCCTCCTGCCCCCAGCATTTGCAGAGAACAGCCTTAACCACTCCTCCAGATACGTGTGCATCCGGGGAGTGTTCATCCTCACAACAGAGTGCACCTCCCTCACCGTCACACTGGTTGTGACTCTGCGGAAGTTTGTGAGCCTCATCTTTTCCATCTTGTACTTCCAGAACCCGTTCACTCTGTGGCACTGTCTGGGCACCTTGTTTGTCTTCATTGGGACTTTAATGTACTCAGAGGTGTGGAAAAACCTAGGGACCTCGAGGAGTCAGCTGCTGAAGGACGACAAGAAGGACTGAGGTCTGCCTGGGACAGACAGAGCAGCGTGGCACGGTAGATAGAGGCCTCTGGGCGGATCTGGCGCTGCGGACTTACCACAGTATTGAACCTCTGAAGAATGGGACCCATCTGCTCTTTCCTGGCCACCCAGGCCGCGTTTGTAGACGCCGCATAGACATCCCTGAGACAGAATAAACACCACAAACAGGGCTACCGGCAGACTGTTGGCTAGTCTCTGCATTTGCTTTTCTGTCGGTGTGCCAGGACAGCAGAGCCTCACTTGTCGGATTCCTCAGAGCTACTAGTTTTCTACCCGTGCGTGGTCTTGGATAAGGCCATGCCCTTGTTGCCACTGATGATTTTTTTGTGTTGTGACAGCCATCGCCCTCCTGTGGCTATGCACCTCTTTTCTCCCGTCACCCCTCCACACTTCAGCACTCTGGGGTACCTCCAGTGTCCCAGGCACAGTCAGACACTGGGTGACCCAGCGGACATGTGAAAAATTAGACCCCAGGGACGATGATGCTGAACTCCCTCCAGTGTGCTGGGAAAGGCAGAACCCTGGTGATGCATGAGCTGAGTGCTGGCGATGCCGGAGCAGATATCGGGGAACCCTTCCCACATTTCATTTATGTTTTTAATCAGTGCAAGGAAGGATCACATGCGTCTTTCACCTGCCGCTTTCTGGGCTTAGAGCAGCCCTGCATCGCTCGTGGCAGTTAGGAAGGAAGAAAGATTAAGAGTGGACTGAGAAGGAGGGAGACCTCCATCATCTCCCGCATGGGGATGGGAGTGTGGCCCAGCACCCTGAGACACCGTTGCCCCTGTGAAGCCAGGCACACAATCATGTAGGTTTCGGATATGCCCCGTAATCGTGGCACTCTGAGAGCTGTCGCCTGTCAAGTCACCAGTGAGTCAATGGATGCGTAGGTGTGAATGCGATGTATAAATCAGGTCAGATCCCTCTACCACAGAGTGAGGTCTTGTCTTCCCATAGATACCAGACTGTTCTTGATGGGTGTGGGTATGAGGTTGCATGTGGGCAGAACATGTTTACGTACAGAAACACACCTCTTTCCTGCTGATCGTTCTGGAGGTCTGATTTTCCTGTCATGGATAATCCTGAGAATGAGTAACCCTGTCAGATAGCACATGTGTGCGTGCTTATATGTGCCCTCGGCTGGGGTGTATGTGATCGAAAAGAATGGATGTCCGTGTTGTTTTAGTTCCCCTTAGCCCCAGACCCTCATTAACCTCACCTAGCTATCTACTTCTCCGCAAACAGCTAAGCTCGAGGTTTCTGTTGCGTATAGACAAAGGCCTTTCATCCTTTTGCTGTGTGCAGACTGCGCTCTCCATGTCTCCTGGGCTCACTTTAGTTCTCTTCCACTGTCTGAAGATACTCTTTGATGGGGCTGAACATCAGCAGTAGAATGAAGTGCCCTAATCCTCTGGGTCCCTGGGGAAGGCAGTTCAAGCTGCCTTGCTTTTTTTTGTTAAATTAAACACAGGTACTGTTTCTCCACCTAGGTCCCCTGGTTTGCAGACTGATAGTCATTCTGGCCACTGACAACTTCTCAGTGCTGATGCCCTATTCTCAAAGATGCTAAATTAGATGTGAACCCATCCGCAGGCCCACAAGCTCCTTAGCTGCTTTGAAATATGTGGGGCCGCTTGGACCAGTGTTGCTATAAATACCAAGTGTTAAATGTCCTCTTACAAAGCTGGGATAAAAAGTACTTTTTCCTTCCTGTTCAACAGAAGAACCTGCCCCTAGGGGCTCTTGAGGCTCTGTTCTGATTGTTCCTACCAGGATAGAACCTTCAGCCACCCAGCACTTTCCAATCTATACTGGCGAGAAGTACCACAGTTGGTAGTTACCTGAGACTGGCTGATACAGACAGGATTTAACTGGAGCTGCTAGGGTTCCGGAATGTGTAACTCTCTTAGTACGAATACTTGGCGAGTTTTATTAAGGGAGATGTAGGGACAAGTAAGAGCTCAGAGCGCTCACACAATAAAACTTGCACCTGTGGGAACAGCACACGAAGGGCCCAGCCTGCTTCCTCCCACACTCCCGTTAGATAGAAGAAAATGCTTTTAAGAGGCAGTTTTGTGAAATTGCTTTTCTAAAGGTTTTGTTTTAATTTCCGTTGTATGTCTTCATAGCACGTGGCCCTGTGGTGGGACATGTTCACAAGTTCACACAACTGAGCACTCCGCCACGCTCACCCCTCGTCCTCCCTGCTGCCCGCCTCTCCGCCCCTTTGTTCCTCTGGGCAGTTCAGCCTCTACCTTCAGATCACATATACAGCCGTGTTTTCACGTCTACACGAAGTAGGACCCACACAGGGGAGAACAATATGGTGTTTTTGTCTTTCCTACACTAGTTTCATTTGCGTACTAGGATTATCTCCAAACCCATCCATAAAATTGTTCTTTAAAAAAAGTTATTCCTCTTGCCTGATTTTTTTTTTCCTCATGCGGATTGTAAAAATATTAAAAGGGCAATAAGCTATTTTATCAAGGCCGCTACTGATTGTACAGGAATGTCCACTAAACATCTTTGTTCTTCCAGCTTCTGAAACAGTGTGTAGTTTGACTCAAAGTAGAGCTTAAAGACATGTAAAAAATCAAAACAAAACAAAAAAAACCGTACGCTAGAGCAAAAATCAAATATGATTTGTACTGTTTCTCTGTGCCCATGGAATAGCCTGTCAGGTGCATTTGTTGAGGTAGCGAGAGAGGACTGGATGCCTGGGTCCTATTTATTACCTGTGTGTCCTTTAGCCAGTGTTGTAAACGATACCTTCATCTCTTTACTAGAAATGTAGTTTCAGTTTTTGAACTTTGTTCTTGGAGTGCGGAGGATCAGACCCTGGGTCCCATACATATTGTGGATTCTTTGATTTTCTTTCCATCCCACTAAAACAACCATTAACACGCTAGATACATTTATAGTTCAGTACGTGGTGGGTTTTGCTTTGTTTCCTTCCCCTTCTTCCTTCCCATGACCAAAGCCCAGCCCTGCAGTTCCCTGCCAGGGTGGCTGGGGCCCTAGGAGGAGTACAGGGTAGGTCCCAGGGCTCTCATTTCCTATGCCCCTCCTCCTCCCTTCCTGGTCAGGCTTTGGTTTCCTGGGCCTTTGTTCTTCATGACTCCCCTGTTCCTTTACTGTACCCGCGTTCGCTGGTGTTACTCCTTACTGAGCAACACCTGTCATTCTTGCTGTACTGTCTATTCTTTGGGGCTCTTGATATGTTGTAGGAGTTTTGTAGGTACTTATGTTTGCCCAGCATGTTGTGCTTAGTGTTCTGTAAGCATTGCTAGTAAGAGCGTAGGGATGGGAACGCTGGGCAGAGTGCTTAAAGGAGTGTGACCAAGGAAGCTTGTCCCAAACTGTCTGCATATTCTTTTCCAGCTCAGCCCAGGGGCAGAGGAACTGTCCCTGCTACCTGCCCCTTCTTAATTGATCCTTTTTAGCCTCAAGATGGGGAAAGAGAAATATGAAGTCTGGGATAATTGTAAATCAGTGAATTAGCTGTGGGGGGCAGACATGTCACTGGAGAACCAGTTTTAATGAACCTGAGCAGATAAACACGTTGTAAACACGTGGAACTAAGATTCTCTCTATGGCTAGAAGTAGATAGAATTAAGAAGAATTCTGCTCCTGTTTGGTCTCAGGGGCTTCCTGCCGAAAGCTGTTGACTGGATCTTGCCTGTGGGAGTTCACGATAATGTAGAGAGAACTTCCAATACAGATGAAATGTGGTCATTGTTACTGTTAATTGGTGTGAAGTTCGGAAATAAGGATGAGCAACATTTAAGGACATATTTAAGCCTTGGGATATATTTGTAATGACCAGAGCTGGGGTGGGAGACTGATAGCTCTCAACTTTATGGTGTGTTCTCTCTTTCTAGAAGTTTCCTTTCTGTAGACATTCCAGGGATGGAAGGGGCTGGAGAGCATGCATAATTCATTTCTGAACTGCCAGCTCCTGGCATAGTGTCTGACATGTGTTATATGAGAAAAGGAGAAAAGGGATGCTTGCCAAGGCCTCGCCCTCCCTCTTTATAATGGTTCCTTACAGCTATTCCCAGTTCTCGTGAGCCGCCGGCTGGCAAGAAAGCCAGGGAAGGGGACATAGCCCAGTGACTCCAATGTGAAAAGGAATGGGGAGCAATTATTGGAGGTGGCTGTAGAATACTACCCAGCTTTTAGCTAGCTTGACACCTGGTTAAGGTAGGGGCAAAGAGACTTGTGCATATTGCCAGGTACAATTGATGTTCAGGAAGAAGCTCTCCAGGAGGTCGTTAAGACTCCTAAGGGTTTGAAGTGGCTTCCTGGTGACTGCCACACTCCCATCTCACAGCCCCCGACGTCAGGGTTGCCGGCTGCTTCCTGGAGAGCTGCGTGGTGTATTTGTCTACATTGAGTATCACCGATATCTGCCCCAAGCTTTGCCTACAGAAATCACCTGCAAGAGGCAAGCAGCCGAGGAGCCAGAGATAGAAAAGGCCTGGTCTGCACTCGAACCCATATTTGAGGGGAAGACTGCAATGGCATCTTTGACAGATCGAGTTATATTACGTCTTTTCTGGTGTAAGGTACACTCCTCAAGCAAAGTGAGAGGCAGCAATTATTCCCCAGCAACACAAGAAAGCCTGTGTGCTTTGCTCGCAACGGTGAGCGTTTACGTGCTATTTGCCTTCTTTCCAGAGAATGGCCTCAGCATCCCAAAAAGGATGATTTGAAAGGTAACAAATTATGGTCATGAGGATTTTATTCATTCAGCCTCTGAGCCCTTCGATGAGTGTTACATTTTAAGGACAAAGATCGGAGAAGGAGGGAGTCCGTCGTTGCCATGTGTGCAGAACAGCCAGAAGACATTAGTGAGTATTCAGATTTTGAGCTGTGTAAATATCAGACACCACTCCCAGCCTTATGAGATATTTGAGCAGTTAAGGAGGAAAGGGAGGGCTCTTTGAATAAAACGATTTGCCACACTGAATGTGTCTTTTTACTGTCATTTCTTATAAAGAGCCATTTTTCACCCCTGAAGAAAACCCATCAGACATCTGGTTTTTATCTTGGATTTGCAACCATTGTTTCTTAATAAAAGTGGTAAATCCCTGCAGGTGCGTCCAATCACCATTGCCTTCAGGGGCGCATGTGTGCTTTCAAGAGGGCTCTCGTTTTTTTTTTTTACCTTGTGTGGTGGCGGGACATTCCACTGCGGGCTGCTCTTGGCAGCGGATGCCTCCTTGCAGCTGGATCAGTAAAAGACCCCTTCCTGGGCTACTGCCTGATTTCTGCTTCACAAATTTAAAATAGATTGGCCTAGCTTTGGGGTCCTAGAAGACTGTGACAGTGTCTGCAGCAAATCTCTCCAGTATATTGATGTTTACCATTTTGTGTGACGAGCCCCCTTTCTCCATACACTACATCCTTTTCCATGAAATCTTGACACAAGTCCCCATGCTCCAAGCAGCTTACAGTTCAGTCTGTTGGTAGTCACGCTCTGCAGTAGCATGTATGTGCAAACATAAAAGCACCGTGGTGCTAGAGACAAAGAATTCAAACCCTAGCATGTATGTGGAAACAGAGTTCAAATCCCTCCTCCTGACAGCTATTTCATGGGTTGTCAGGCAGAGCTGGGGATTGTAAGTAGTCCCGAGCTCTAGTTTTGTGCTGGAATGGCCTCTGAAGCCTCTCCCTGCACACTGAAGTCACGCAGGTATGACCTGTTGAACTCTACAATGTTCTGAACCTCAAGCTTGAGGAGAGACAGACCTGTCGAGATGGTAAATTACATTTTGCTTCAACTCTTAAGCCACCTGTGAGTTTGCGTGAGCAGAGTGCTTTTCTCTACGCTGCCCCGTGACTCTGATGCCGCAACAAAATAGTTACACACCTTCAAGTGGATCTCTGCCCCAGATGCCATTCACGGAGAAGAGTTGCCAGCACTTAGGTCTGTCACAAGGATCCATTTCCTGTGCCCCCTTTCTTACGTGAGCATTCAAGAACCCATCAAAAATGAGAGCATACCACTGAGTTTCCTGTTCATGTCATGGAATCTCTACCAGGAAAAGCAAACGCGTGGTTATGCAGCATTTTTCAACAGCCAAACCTTTTAGTGATGTTCTTTATCTGCAAATGAATGTAGTCATCTCATCATTAAAATGAAGTTATTTTAATGTATGATTGTTTCTTAAGCAGCACTTCAAAGACCTAGCATATGGCTCTGTTATTGCACATGACTCTGAAGCACAAGTGTGCTCTGGAGCCAAGGAAGCTTATGATGATAATTACTGGAATGTATTACAGTCAGTGAAGTGGATTGCACAAACACATCCGGGTGGGTTTCCCAGAACCTCTAACATTTGATTTCTATTTATATAATGCAATCCCCATGGGAAACCAGCAGTGTAAGGAAAAAAAAAAAAAAAAAAAAAAAGATTAGTTTTGTTTGGCAATCCAGGAGACCGAGGTACCAAGAACACCTAACTTATTTCAGCGGTTGGAGCTGTTAGACTCCAGAAACTGTGTTCTCTGTACTGTGCTGCCTCTAAAGTTCCAGGACTGAGATTGCTATCTGCCTCTACTCGCTGGTATAAATCTCCCTGTGCTAAATGCCATCAGTGAACCTCGGCCAGCTCTGTGTTCTTATCATATTAGTTTTGCCGCGACTCCGATTTTATTCTCCCAGAGCTCATGCCCTGTTCTTCAGCACAAACAAGAAAACAAAACCACAGAAATCTTGTCACAAGACTGGTTCCTCGGTGTTCACACCAGAATGTACTTATTTTTCCTGGTGCACTATCAGATGTATAGCACAGCATAATCAAATCACAGCTTTCACAATGATTTGCTTAAGTCTCTGTAGTTTGCAGATTGTTTAATGTATGTGTTAACTGTTCATTTCTCCCAGTTCTGTCCCAGAAAGCTTCTTAATTAGGTTATCTCATCTACCTGGCCAAGTGCCATCCCGAATTATACTTAGATAACGGATCTTCAGCCATTCTACAAGAATCATTACAGAAGTTTTCACTTTACGTGATTCAGAGTCCTTGGCACTGATGAAGTTTAATGCATTACCCATTATCCACTAGGTCGCCTCATACCCTCTATTTAAATGAGAATTAGTGTTAGAGTATTGCACAGTCCTAGCTGTAGAAAACATTTGCATCTGCAGAAGCATTTGCATATACAATTCTCTCAGGAAATGAAAACTGCCATCCCTTTGATAGAAATTGCGTCAGGATTATATTGAGCTGTATGGAACAGGAACCCAGTTTAGTCTCTTAATCCGACAGTTTATCCTTTACAAGGATGGGGGGGGGGTGCGGTCAGGGCTGGTGTGACCTCCCCAGGAAGTTGTCAAAGAAAATGGCAGAAATTGCTGTAAAATAGCACAGCAGCAGAAGGTGTACTGCAAACACCGGAGAGCAGTCCAATGGCTTCTGCTTCGTCCCGCCGCCCAGATCTTAGGAGTTCCTGCTTGTCTTCATTTTCCTGCTTCTGTGATTAAGTACCCTGATGAAAGCAACGTATGGGAGCTTATTTTGTCTCCAAGTTGCAGGCTGTAGCCCCTGTCATAACGCAGAAGTCACAGTGGGAGGAGCTTGGAGACACTGCTCACACCTGTGGTGGAAAACAGAGCCAGGAATGCACGTTGCTTTCTCTACATCTGCAGTCCTGGACACAGCCAGGGAACAGTGCCACCCACGGTGGGCAGGAGTACTCACCTCAGTACAGACAAAATAACCCCCCACAGGCTTATCCAGAGGTGATTCTAGATTCTAGAAACTGATGACAGTTGGCATCACGTTATCAGAGGAAGTAATCCAAGAATTCTGCTGGGAAGGATTGGAAAACTCAGACTCCAAGAATTCCATGTTCTCTGAGACAGGAAGAGATCAGATAGAGAAATAAGGTTGAACTTCCCACCTGTGATACCGCAGCCTTCATCGCTGTAGAGAATGCCTGAGTGATGATTCTTAACCTTTAGACCCAATTAATTAGCAGCATGTCAGCCTATTATGCTGCTTTTGCTTAGCTATGTCCCCACAAAGTTTCACACGCTGGGATTTTGCTCCCTAGTGTGGTAACATTGAGGTGGTAGACTATGGTTTGGATTGACATGTCTATCCAAAAGTTTTTTGTTGAAGGTTTTGTCCCCAAGTTATTGTTCAGAGGTAAGGTTTTGGGGGATTCATTAGAAAATAAGGGCTCTGACCTAATCAATGGACCTAACACAATGATAGACTCATAATCTGATGGTGATATTAGGAAATAATAGCCACTGGAGAGTGTGGCCTGGTTTGGAAGAAGCCAGTCACTGAGGGCATGCCTTCAAAGTCTCCCCAGCTGCCTCCTAGCCACTGTGAAGTCAATGGCTCTGCTCTCTCCACCCTGGTGTTTGGCTCCCCTCTGGCATGGTGATGAGAGCCAGCAACCCCAGGCTGACAGCTGCAAGCCAGGGGCCAAGTAAGTGTTTCTTCCCCTAAGTGTTTATTCCCAGGTGTTTTATTGCAGTGACAGATCACTAATGTACTGGACCTTAAAAAGTGGGGCCCAGGGACAAGTGTTAGCTTATTGTGAAGGTCACCCTCAGAAAGGAGTTAGCTCAAGAGGGGCTTTTTTTTTTTTTAATATTTTTTTCTTACTTTACATATCAATCCCATTTTCCTCTCCCTCCCTCCCATACTCCCCACAGGACCCCCCCCCCCCAATCCCATCTCCGATCCACTCCCCAGGGAGGGTGAGGCCTTTCATGAGGGATCATCAAAGTCTGCCAAGTCATTTGGGGTAGGGCCTAGGCCCTCTCTTGTGTCTCTAGGCAAAGGGAGTATCCCTCCATGGGGAATGGGCTCCCGAAGTCCATTCTTGCACTAGGGAACATCCTGGTTCCATTGTCAGAGGTACCATAGACTGCCCAGGCTTCCTAACTGAGCCCCATGTTCAGGGGGTCTGGGTCGGTCTTATGCTGGTTTCCCAGCTATCAGTCTGGGGTTCATTAGCTCCCCCTTGTTCAGGTCAGCTGATTCTGTGGGTTTCTCCAGCCTGGTCTTGACCTTTGCTCATCACTCCTCCCTCTCTGCAAAGGAGTTCAGCTCTGTTTAGCTGTGGGTGTCTGCTTCTGCTTTCATCAGCTAGTGGATGAAGGCTCTAGGGTGGTGTATAAGGTAGACATCAATCTCATTATCAGGGAAGGCATTTAAGGTAGCCTCTCCACTATTGCTTAGATTGTTAATTGGGGTCATCCTTGTAGCTCTCTGGACATTTCCCTAGTGCCAGATTTCTTTTTAAACCTATAATGGCCCCCTCTATTATGTTATCTCTTTTCTTGCTCTCCTCTATTCTTCCCCTGCTCAATCTTCCTGCTCCCTCATGTCCTCCTTTCCCATCCTCTTCTCCCCTTCTCTTTCTCCTAATTCCCTCTCCCCTCCGCACCTGCTCCCAGTTTGATCATGATATCTGGTTCCTTTCCCCTTCTCCAGGGGACCATGTATGTCTCTCTTAGGGTTCTCCTTGTTTCCTAGCTTTTCTGGCTGTATAGATTGTAGGCTGGTGATCCTTTGTGTTTAAAATCCATATATGAGTGAGTACATACCATGTTCATCTTTTTTTGTGGCTGGGTTACCCTGCTCAGGATGGTTTCTTATAATTCCATCCATTTGCCTTCGAATTTCAAGATTCCATTGTTTTTTTTTTTTCTGCTGAATAGTACTCCATTGTGTAAATGTACCACATTTTCTTTATCCACTTTTTCAGTTAAAAAAAAAAAAAAAGGATAAAGGTTACTTCCTTTATCTAGGTTGCTTCCAGGTTCTGGCTATTACAAATAATGCTGCTATGAACATAGTTGAACAGATATCCTTGTATGAATGTGCATCTTTTCGGTATATGCCTAAGAGTAGAAATCCTGGATCTTGTGGTAGACTGATTCCCATTTTCCTGAGGAGCCACCATGCTGATTTCCAAAGTGGATGTACAAGTTTGCACTCC